AGCCGTATATCCCTTCTGATTCACTGATATAAAACACTAAAACTGTTCTCAGATCAGCACTCAGAGCTTGCTAGGTAGGACCTCATAACACACAGTCACCAGCCTTTTGTTCTCCTACATTCATAACTCATACATGATTGTGGCCGTCCTCGTCCCCACCACAGATTCTTAATGCCAGCCTTGAAGACTCCATCTTCTGCCCTTTTTTGTATTTTCCCTGCTCCAGCACTTCTGATTCAGCTTTTACAAAATCATGACACAACTAAATCAGACATGACAATCACTGTAAACATTTATATACTACGTAAACACTTTCAGTGGCCTGCGAATGTAACATTACATCTTCCAAAAGACTTTGTTGTGGCATTCCTTCCAGAATGGGAATTTAAACTCGATGACCATGGAGATTTTAAACTCGAACACGGAGTTTGAAAAGAATGGAAATGCTCATTCACTAGTGGGCATACGTGCAATTGTGCACACACGGGGCAAATGCAAGCAGGACATAACTTGAGTAAATCAAAGATAGGAATAAAGAACCAGAAAGAACCACGCATCATTACAGCATGCTAGCCTTGACAAGTCCAGCTGTCAGCAGTCTCTGCGATTATTTAGTTCACTAGAAAAGACTTGTTGAAACACCTTGCCTCTTCCTATGTATGAAATACACCAATCTGGAAATGAAGGCTAAGAGCACACAGGCCTCAGTAATAACATGAAGACTGCTTGGGGCTACTGTACTGCCTACAGGAGAGGAGCTGCTGGAAATACTGAATTTCAAAGACTGTTGTCCACAGAATTAGAGTCTATTTGTGGTTCTACTTGCAGCTGACCGGGGGTGGTGGGGACACTCTTAAATTATCTAATACTAATAATCATAATAATAACGTGCTCTGATGCAAATGTTTTAACTGCCAAGTATTTATTTAAATAACTGAACAATAACAAAATATATACACTTTGTGTTTATAACTGAACTATTTTCTCTCTTTCTCTCCCACACAGACACATACAGTCTCTCTTTTTCTCTCTCTACCACTCACACACAGACACACACTCTCTCTCCCACGCTCACAACTGTCCATCTCACCTGTTGCTGTTGCACTAGCTGGCTCTCCCACACCTCTCTCTTCATTACCTACAGCTATCTTTTCCTGACCCTCTCTAGCTGCTTCAGCTGCCACAGCAGCGCTGGTTGAAGCCGAGCAATGTTCAGAACAAATTAATTGGATAACTATTCACACTGATCTGTGTGATCTTTCCCATGCGTGTTTTCTTGAAGTCATGGTTTTAGGCGCTTCTTCCCATTTTTAAGTTTCTAACTCTTTTTGCTACTACATCTCTTTGTACCTGGTGTGTGTGTGTGTGTGTGTGTGTGTGTGTGTGCGCGAGTGTGAGAGAGAGAGAAAAGCAGAGGCAGAATGAATCAATGCCACTACAATGAAATACAATTTTACACGTTTAACCAATACGCATAATGCGGTTACCCATCCTGGAGTACAAGAACAATATTGCTCCTTTTTTTGCATGTCATCTGTAAGGACTGATTACTTAAGAGACTTTTTGACTGATCTGAAGACCTTAGCTTCTATCTTTTAATGCCATTAAGTCTGCTGAGAGACCATGAAGTTATACAGGTAGCCTTGAAATGCACACAGACCTCTTTGTCTTCTCCTTTCTGAAATAATAGATGTATTGCTCCAACAACTACTAAGAATTCATCAAGGTAAACTGATTGTTCATTACATTAAAAAAACTCTGTAGTTGTCCACAGTAAACAAAAAAGAACACATGGTTAAAACAAGTCATTTATTTATATATAGTCTGAGAAAATAATACAATGCAGCCTTTGTCAAGGCCACAAGGCTACTTAAATCAATAAAACAGCTTCACTACTGAAAAGGTGCTTGATGTGGAAAACAGCAACACAGCTGCCACCACACTACTGGGAAACACAGTTTAACTAACAGCTTTGCTACATATAATGATGCTACTGCCCAACTCTGTAAACAACAGTAATCATCAACAACCAAACACACAGTCTAATCCACTCACAGGCCATCTAGCATTGTATCTGTTTCTTCAAGAAAAACTTACACCCTTAGGATCTGTTCTTTTCTAGAGGAAGTATTAGCAGCAGCGCTACTGTCAAGAGGATGTCGTCTCACACACCATAAACATAGTGGAAAGCCAGCTGGTTAACCACTTACATCCTCACACTGTCTCTTCTAAATAACCCACGGTCAGCTTCAGGCCTCCCTCAGTGATCTCATTGTCGATTCACTCTTGAACTCTTTCTGATGATTAAAACCACACACTCGATCACTCGCTCAGCTGTGTTTGTTATGGAGGTTGCTTTGGAGTCGATGCGTCAGTTCAGTCGGTGATGTAGAGTCAGATAGAATTACAGAGCAGATGAGGGCGCCTGTCAGTAATTAATGTTGCCATATTAAAGACACACACCCATGTCAGTGAACCATCTTATCTCCCATTGATGACACCGGCACACATGTTTACCACCTCAGGCTATTCTGCACAGGATCTCACAATTAGCTGCATGAAATTCACAATCTCAATACATTTCTTAATGGACTTTATCAAGAACAGCACTGATTCTTCAGCCTTTATACTCATATAAATCCTGTGACCAATGACAACAGACACTGTGCCATGTAACCTAAAGCATGATGAGATCTGTCTTTTACATTTGGATTTTTTATTACACATTTATACTTATTTAAAAATCAGTATATTTACAATGTAATGTGTAATGTTCATATTTTTGTGATAAATTTAAATGCTGCATCATTCTTTGCTAAATTGGTGTCTCAAAGAACCGAAGTGAAAATCTCAACTCTAATCCAAAACAATCATGATTCCCTCTGAATCAAGAATCATGAGAACCTCTCTGAGGGAAAAGCTGAGCTTTACAGTGATGTGAAACTATCAGATTTCCTCCTGTAATAATATGCAATGAGTAGGAAGGAAGCTCAAGACTGTATGACAGACACTACAGCAGTAAAATCTCTCAGCTGTTACAGTGGGCTGAAGCCTGTCTAGTCTGGAAAAGGCCTTCAGTCCACACCCATAAACTACAAGTCAGACTGAACAAAATATGAGGAATTTAAACACAACTAAACAGTGTTGCTAAGGAACTAAAGGGACCTATATAGCAAACATATTAATAACATATGGAAAGTATTCATCTGTTAATGCTTGAACAACACACCAAAGTGGAAGAGAGGTAATGATTATAGTGTAGAATAAAATGCAGTAGGCCTGTTAGTGTGGTCAGTGTGTAAATGTGGGTTGAGTTTGGGTGAAATTTACAGCCAAGCTTTTCATTTGCAAAATAAATAAAGGGTTTTGCTTCTACTTTCTTGCGAACCAGCATAACTGGTCATCTTGGTTTCTTAATTTGTGGTGTTTAATCGGTCAAGAAAGCCTTAGGTCTTCTACACAAATTCGTTGTTGGGGAGTAAATGAAATATCCTGGACTGAGATGTGTGGAGGGAGTAATGATGAGTCAGTCTGACAAAATCCAGGCCACCCAATTTGAATTCCAGATATGGAAAAAAGGTGTTAGGGACAAAAGCAAACCTTGAAACATCTCTAATGTAAGCAGACAACAGCACAAACATCCCAGTTAAACAGCACCACTGCTCTCAGTCGGTTATAGAAAGCCAAGGCTGCAGGAAGTTTGCAAGGCTCATTGTCTTACTGCACTTTCCAAAGCTTCCTCTATCTAATACAATCTAATTTCACCTTGAAAAAAAAAGAAGAAAATCCACTGCTTACAGGCTACTGTAAAAGTCACTCACAGGCTACTCACAGTAATGTCGTTTTAAGCCTGAGTTAAAAAGGAAATCCACTGATATTTCAAATGCCCTACAAAGTTCAGTGGTTGAATTGTGGACAAAAGTTATTCAGAGTGGCTTGATGTCAGGTTTCATTGTAGAGAAACTTACTGACTCAGATTTCTTTAGAGAAGTGGTGATAGGACCAGATGTTGTTGTGTCTACGACACATATATAGCCATTTTATTTACGCTCCAAAACATATCTGTAAAGCTACATGTGTCTTGAGTTTTTATATGTAATATTGATAGCTAATGTTACAATACAGCATACCTTGCTGCCATGAACAGATAGAAATTAGTGTGCTTTAGGACAAAACCTTCCATCTCAGCAATATCGTAAAACAAACCCTCAGGCACCATGAAAAGTAATTGAAACTAGTTCACTTAATAGATTTCTGTAAGAGAGCTTTTAAAGGCATTACACTCCTCAGATGTCTGGTTCCCATCACCCCCACTATGAACAACTCTGACCCCGTAAGTTTCTCTAGAACGAGGCATTTCACACCAAACCACTTTGTATTACTTTGTTGACAATTAAATTAAGCAGAAATGTTGAAAAAATGACTGCATTTCCCTTTAAAGGTGCCATAAAAGGGGCTGTGAATAACTTTCATCTTTTTTTTAATCTCGTGTGGTGGTGTAAGTGCTTCCAGAAGGCCGCAGCATTTCTTCCTAATGACATGAACGAGGGGAGCTGTTGAATCCGGACCGAGTCGTATTTACGTTAGCTCACCAACAACTACCAAATAAAGCATTGTTCTGCAGCAGCAGGAGCGGCGGCGGCCATTCTTCTTCCTCAGAGACTCCCTCCTCTCTCTCTCCCCGGGCCTTAAACCCCACCACCCATGACCACACCTTCGAGAACAACTTTAACCACAGTTTTTAAATTAATAGGCAGAGAACTTGGTGAGTAAACGTTAGTGAAGACACTCTTGGCTGCTGCCTTTTTTAGCTTTACCCACACATCCCCACCCAAAGTCCCCGCACTCATTCCGCTCCCAGCCAACAGCCAACGACAAAAGCCCTCAACAGGACTCCGGAGACTCGGTTCTGAACTCTCTCCACAGCTGTAACTTAGATATTTACTGTGGAGAAGCTCGTTTTGTCATGTTTTTTGTTTCTCCTTCATTCAAATACTCACCTTAACCAACGGAAGAATCGACTCTGGACCGCGTTTTCAGAGCAACATTTGCTGACAGAAAGGTCCTCTCAGTGAGCTCTGTTTGGCGCGAGCTCCTCTTCTGAAAACGGTCGCTCCAGGCTACGTTTTTCGTCACGCGCCCAAAAATACGTCGGCCTCTAAAACCACAACAGGCTAATGTTCCCTTTCTGTGGCAAAGTGACGATGTAAAAGGACGACGGTCAGTACAGAACACACTGAGACAAAGGGCAGTGAGTCCAGCTCGCCCTTGGCTGGATGTTGAGGGAGCGCTGCGCGTGTGTGTGTGCGCGCGTGCTGTTGGGCAGCTGAGCGGACGTGGAGCTTTCGGCCCGCCTCCTTTTCCTAAACCCGCCCAAACCGGAAATTCTACAGGCTATCAGTAATCTGCCCCAGTAAGGGGTCCTCAGAAGTCTGAGTCATTTACAGGTTTAGCGGGTGTATCATAACGTTCGTAACGTGTTTTGGCCTAAATATATGACCAGGGTCATCAGTTCCGGCCCGGGTCACTGTTGTTTAGCCAGTTTGTGATAACTCTCCAACAAGAACTTTAATAGGTTATTCTGACATTTGATTGTTGTTTGTCGAGGTTTCTGTAGGAAAGCACTGCAAATCTCCGCCTCATCTGGTTAACAGAGCTCATGATGTTTCCTTTTTGTGTTTACGTCTATAAACGGTCTCTCACTACAATACCCATCATGCCTCAAACAAAAATGCCGTGCAAACATCCTGCCCTTATATATCTGCCCCAAAGTGCTTGTAGTTTTTTTTTTTTAACTTCGTCCCACCTTCATGATATGTCATTACAGGGGATTTTCTTAGTCTTTTACAATCTTTAACTTTTATTACACAGGAACATCTCAGTCTAGACTGCTGTGGGATGTGAATCAGCATGTTTTACAACAGATGCAGGCTCTACTGAATCAGATTCTACAGAATCAAGTGTGTCTGAGCACGAAAACCACCAAATTGTACTGGGCTCATAAGTTTTTCTTAATATGATCACTTTAAACCTGTTTAGTCACGTTTGGACTGTTGATCCAATTTGAGGACTAGATTAGATTATTGGACTTTCTTACTGTAATAGAAGTTGTCTTAACTGCCTGAATCTATTCCACACATAGTGAGCTGTCATAAAATGCATAACATGTTTCCACCTAGTTATAACCAGTAACAGGGCTTAATTCTGATTTAAAAGATTTGATTTAAAGCTGCTAATAGCTGCATTAAGATGCTAACTGTAATGCTGTTAGCTCCCCAAAACTCAGTGTCAGTGTTCTAGTTACAGAATCAGATTCAAAGCAGGCTGCTCAGTTTTAGGGCACTGCAGTGACCTTATTATTTTACATGGTATGGTAAAAAAAAATGTACACAGTTTTTTCTTCAGTTTTCTTTAGTTTCTTTAGCTATGATGCTAACGTTGCTAACATTGGAAGTCAATAGTCACCCAAGTCTTTTTAAAATATGTGCCCAAAATGTCTCTCAAACCACATCCAGGGCTTCAGCAATGTTGAACTACATAAGTGAACAAAACTTCATGGTATATGTGAACACTGGGGGCAGCCATTTTAGACAACAGGTGTCAAAACCTTTGGACACTGGAACACTGGACTTAGTCTAACATGCGATAGCCACTGTAGCCACTGATCTGAGGTTGATGTCATAGTATTTTGCTTATCCCTTTTAATTTCTTACCAAATTAGTACTCCACAGTACATGTCTGTTTCTGCTCCTCACTGCTTTGGGCTGGATGGTTACTTCTCAGTTGTGGGTTCAGCTAATCTGGTGAGGTAGAATTTATCTAAAGGTTAAAGGCTAGTCTACTGAATGATACCTGTAATCAGTACTACAATCAGTGGATTGCTCGTCATTATGAGTGTGTTGCACTCCTAGTTATGAGCTGTGCTTTGATTCTTTCAAATATATCTAGGTAGCTTCCTGCGTGATCTATAGGTCAGACACTTTTCTAAGTGTGATTCAGAGGTGTAACTCAACACTGATAAAAAAAAACTGAAGGAAGTTGCAGCACAATGAGACACACATAGTCTGTACACGACAATGAGACTACACATACACACACAGCTCGCACAGCACAGCTTTGGCATATTTACATAGTGCAGTCTAGGTGAAACAGAGCGAGATGGAAGACGGAGGTAGTTAGTACAGGCCTCATATCTATATTAAGCCATTTCCTGTCTCATACATATTCTTTATGAGAAAGTCACAGTTTGTCTTGTCGCAAAACCACATCTGAGCTGTGGGTAAGTGAGCATAGTCAGGCATAGCTGGGCCCCAGTCCCCCTCATATCTACCGAAAGACGCAAGATCAAAATCTAGGCACACATAACACCCCCCAACCCCCCGACCCCCAACCCCCCACCCTCCACCATGAATACATTATTATTGATAATCTGTTGACAATGAATCTGATCTGATATGTGTATTTTTTTTATAGATGATACATCCACACAGCACACATGTCAAATGCACCACTGTAATTAAGATATTCTAGGTTGCTACTTTAAAATGCTACGGTAAAATCTCTATTTTTAGGATGTGCATAATGTGACAAGTTTTTGCCTACTTTTTTAAATGACCATTTTATAGTGTGTTTAATATGATCCAGTTTGATTGATCATCAAATCAGATGATGATGGTTAGCAGTTTACCATTTTTTATATGAGTAGAAGGTTATAGAATGAAGTTAAATTGGGATTTCAGAGGTGTGGGACTCCTTTATTTTCCATAGGGTTGGAATAGGATTTACCAATGTTGGAATAGTATTGTTGAATTTGTTCTTTATTCTCATCACAGATATCATGAAAATGAATAGCTTTATTTCTGTCTTTCCATTTATTCTTCAAGCATTCATTCAGTTTTGGCATTAAAATGAAAGTCGCGCTACAGCCTCTAAACCTGCTAAATAAACTGTTTCAAACAATGATGACCTATCTGACATCTAATACTTTTCCTTTTTTTCCTGTGAAAAAAATATATAACTGATTCTATTAGATCTATATGCTTTTTAATACAGCAAAAATAAAGCAGGATTGTATTCTCTGGACCTCCATGCTTTCTTTTCTCATGTAGTGGGTGTATCTATAAAGAGGCACCTGAATGGAGTGAAATCATACTTACTAGTTAACCATCTGATACATACAACCTTCTGATTAGCACCTGAACGCAGCATCAGTCTAACGCTGACGGCAAAGGAAGCAAGACGTAGCGAGACTTAGAGTGAATTTTAGACAAAACTGTAACTGAAGATTTTAACAGTGTTCAGGAGATACGAGAAGTAGTGCAGGGAACACAACATACAATATTTTTCACAAAACAGGATAAAATCACCTTTAGGCATAATTAGGCCTGTATAATTAAGTGTGGTGCAATGTGTGAAACACTGAATAAAAATCATCGCATTCATGGCTTTTATAGTATTTTTAATGCAACATTATTGGTCCTTTTTTATCTGTTCCAGCTTATCAAACTCAGAAAACAAATAAATATTTTGGTACGTATTGTGCATCGTGAAAAAGTTTTTAAGTATCATGATGTTATATTTTTGCCATATCGCCCACCCCTACTCTGACCTGCTTTGGCTCTGATAGTGATTTAGGCATCCCTAATATTTTCTGTTTGAGAGAAAAAAACTGCCATGCTTTCTGAACACCTAGCGGCAGGGGCTTCTGAAAGCTTTTTTTTTAAATAGGGTATAGTTTATATACAACCCCGTTTCCAAAACAGTTGAGACACTGTGCAAAAGGTAAATAAAGACAGAATGCAATGATGTGCAAATAATTTAAACCCTATATTTAATTGAAAATAGTACAAAGACAACAAATGTTGAAATTGTATTCTTAAATATATGCCATTTTGAGTTTTATGTCCTTGATTTCCAAGAAGAATTTGAAATTTTGATTGGTCGGACCACAGGAGACTTTTCCACTTCGCCTCAGTCCATTTTAAATGAGCTCGGACCCAGAGAAGGTGGCGGTGTTTCTGGATCCTGTTTATGTATTGTTTCTTCTTTGCATGGTAGAGTTTTAACTTGCATTTGTGGATGCAGCAATGATCTGTGTTCACAGTGGTTTTCAGAAGCGTTCCTGAGCCCATGCAGTGATTTTCATTACAGAATCATGTCTGTTTTTAATACAGTGCCATCCGAAGGCCCAAAGATCACAGCCAGGCGATACTGGTTTTTGGCTTTGTCCCTTGCATACAGGGATTTCTCTGGATTCTCTGAATCTTTTAATGATATTATGCACTGCAGATGATGTAATCCCCAAATTCTTTCTATTTTATGTTGAGAAACGTTATTCTTGAATTGTTGCACTGTTTGCCTCAGCAGCTTTTCACAAAATTGTGAACTCCTACCCATCTTTACTTCTGAAAGACTCTTTTTTACCCAATCATGTTGTATCTGATATGTTGTCTTTGTACTGTTTTCAATAAAATATGGGTTTTAAATGATTTGCACATCATTGTATTCTTTTATTATTTACACTTTCAACAGCATCCCAAATTTTTGGAAACGGGGTTGTAATTTAATGCAGTGATGAGTGATATATAATGCAGTAGCTGTTGGTAGAATTTTTACTTGTTGACATTTGCTAAAAGCAGTTTTGTATTCTTTTACAGCAGCATGGTTTGTGTAAGTGGCAACTATAAGACATGACTACTTAGTCTAGAGCAGGGATCATCAATTTTAGTCCAGGAGGTCCAAAGTCCAGCACAGTTTTGTGACGCTTTAATGCACCAACTAAACCTGATGATTAACTGATGAGTTGAATCAGGTGTTTTTGAGCAGGGAAATCATCTGCTCGATTTTGTTATTTTAATTAGACTGATTGTGGTTACATTAGATGTACATGAACAGTCTAATTGATGACCCATGGTCCACAATGTTTAACCCCTTAAATGGCCAGGGCCCACTGACAGGCCCTAGCTCAGCCAGTTGAGGTCCCTGTAGTTACTGAATAATAAGCCTTACCATGTAATAATCCTGGGATTTTAAGGAGTTAACCAGTTAATATTTTAACATGACTATAACAAATGTACAGGTTATAAACCTAACATACTACAGATTAATATGTACATGTAAAACCTGAAAACAAGCCTGAACTCACAATTTATATTTTAGTTTCTTTCATCTATCAACCCTCCTAGGATCACAAGAGTGGACTTGTGATTGTGGTTCAAGAATTGATGTTTATCTGTTAGCTAGCGGAAATTACATGCGGATGGAGCCAGCATTAGCTAATTGAAATAAATTTACTCCAACAAACTCTATGACCTCTTATTACCTGACTGTATTATTAGAAGTTCTTTGTGTGTGGGGTTGTGGTTTTACTCTGCTGTGGCTTAAGTGTGAATGCTGAAATCTTGCATCCACCAGATCAGAAGCCAGCACCCCAAAAAGGGGCTTTAGCACAAGAGTGTCAGGTTTGTCTGCAAAGGACAGATGTGGCTACAGATTTTAATTCTTAATAAACACACAGGAAAGCTACCCTGCTGAAAAAAACAACACAGACATCATCTGGTCTGAGCTGATTTATGCTGGTTTAGTGGTGGTCTGGTGCTGGTTTAGCTGGTTTACCAGCATCCAAAACACAACATGTGCTGGTTTTGCTGGTTTATGCCAGTTTTTCTAGCAGGGTCAGCATGTTTGAAGTGCTTATTCAGTTGGTCTCGGTCTTCAAACAAATGATTAGCTATAAGAGGTGTGCTCCTACTTTGTTGAAGAGAAAACCTGTAGGCCTTTTGCAGAAATATACAGAAATAAACTATATGCTGTATATCTATCCTTTTATAGAGTTTAGTTTTAACCCTGCTCTAACCCAGCTCCTGGAGATACACGTTTTTGAAGAATTGCATTACAACCCAGCTCCTGGAGATCTACCTTCTTTTAGCGTTTAGTCCCTAACCTACCCTAGTGATATACCTTTTTGGAGAACTGACCTGCAAACCTATCCCTAAAGATATTGCCTTTTGCAGAGTTTAGTTCTGGACAGACATCTGGAGTTATACACCTTTGCAGAGTTTAGTTCCAACACTACTCCTGAAAACACAGCCTTTTGCAGATTTTAGGTCTGACCTTACTCCTGTAGTTATTCTCTTTTGTGGAGTTTAGTTCCAACTCTACCCTGTGGATATGCTTAAGGTGATAAACCCTTTTGCAGATCTTTGTTTCAGTCCAACTCCTGGTGGTATAAACATTTGCAGAATTGAGTTCCAGTGCAGCTCCTGGAGATATACCCTTTTGCAGAATTGAATTCCAACCTGTCTCCAGCCTCACCCGTGAAGATACGCCCTTTTGCAGGTTTTAGCTTCAGTGTGACTCCTGTGGTTTATATACTTTTGCAGAGTTTAGTTCCCACTCTATCCCTTTTGAAAACCCCTTTTGCAGAACTGAGATCCAACTTAGACTTGTGGAGAAATACCACCCTGCAGTTCTAGCAAGTTGACGTAGCTCAACATAAGAGATAAGGTATTCTCGAGGGTAGATCTACAGGTGCACCTCTGACAAACTTGTGCAAACATGACCACAGCATCAGCAAGAGGCTGACAGCACACCACATTTCAGTTTGGAAGGCTTAGCTCACTATCAGTACGGAAGTGGCAAAGAGTTCACGAGGCCAAAATACATGTACACAGGCGAACATAACATACAAACCCACCCTTGCCCTAGACACCGTCAGCGGTTTTCAAGCAGAAGTGGTGCAACTGAGCGGTTTTGATGGGAAACCACACCACTATGCCTCGGAGCATAGGTCACCATGACAACAGCACCAAAACTCTGCTGCTGCTGTGTGACTGAAAAAGGCCGTGGCGTTGCTGAAGAATTAGTCTGTGGCGCCTATACTTTTTTCTCAGGGGGCAAAAGTGCAAAAGACAAAATGATACACAAATAAAGACAACTAAAATACTGCAAAAATACAATTTTAAAATGAAAAAAGTAGGTTATAGGCCTACATAGTACAGAAATGAGTTTGTTATGTCTTTATTTGTGTATTGTTTTGTCTTTTTGTTTTGTCTTTTTGTCATTGAACTGCACTGTTTAAATGACAACGTTTGGGGTGGACCGAGAGCCAAAAAGACAAAACAATACACAAATAAACACAACTGAATTTGTGATTTCAATTTTTAAATGTAAATATTTAATAAGAACTTAATAAGTTGTAGGCCTATAGAATAAAGAAATATGTTTGTTTTCTCTCTGGGTGAGGGGGCGGGGTTTGAGTAATTTTGTGGCAGACCAAATCAACACAGTTGCCACTTATCATAAGCGACTTCGGACTTATTTTCCTATAAAGTTGTTTACACACATTGGTAGTTGTGGGTTGTGGTTTTTTGGGCTTGTTTCTGAAATGTAGTTGTTAATTTGGGCTTGCTCCCTGATCCTGTCTCTGTCCACTATACCTGTCTAACAAAGTGTTTTCTAATAGTTCTGTTGCACGATCCGCCCCATATCTATCTATCTATATATCTATATCTATATCTATATCTATCTATCTATATATATATCTATATATCTATATCTATATCTATATATATATATATATATATATATATATATATATATATATATATATATATATATACACATTTTAAGAGTCGAGTCACTTCTTTTGGGCTTGTTGCCATGGACCTGGTTGCTTGTTTCTCTCACGAGATCTGGCAACACTGCAAATGAAATGTCCTCATTTGGGCAGCCCTGAATTAGAATTAATACAACCCCATTTCCAAAAAAGTTGGGCTGCTGTGCAAAATGTAAATAAAAACAAAATGAAATGATGTGCAAATTATTAAATATTAATATCACTTAATATTTCATTGAAAATAGTACAAAAACAACATATCAAATGTTGAAGCTGAGAAATTTTATTGAAATTTTATTGATTGCTTATTGAAAAATATATGCCCATTTTGAATTTGATGCCACCAAAACGTTCCAAAAAAGTTGGGACAGGGTCAACAAAAGGGTGGTAAAGTTGTGTAATTCTAAAAAAAAACACCTGGTGGTTGATTGGCCACAGCTCAGTAACATGATTGAGTATAAAAAGAGCATCTCAGAGAGGCTGTCTTTCAGAAGTAAAGATAGGGAGGGGTTCACCACTCTGTGAAATACTGCACAGGCAAATAGTGCAACAATTCAAGAATAACGTTTCTCAACATAAAATAGCAAAAACCTTTTGCTTTTCATCATCTAAGGTACAAAACATCCAGAGGAATCTCTGTATGCAAGGGGCAAGACCAAAAACCAGTATTTGCTGGCCGTGATCTTTGGGCCCTCAGGCGGCACTGCATTAAAAGAGACATGATTCTGTAGTGGAAATCACTGCATGGGCTAAGAAACACTTCTGAAAACCACTGTCTGTGAAAACAGTTTGTTGCTGCATCGACAAATGCAAGTTAAAACTCTGTAATGCAAATAAGAAACCGTATATAAATAGGACCCAGAAATGCTGCCACCTTCTCTGGGCCCGAGCTCGTATAAAACTGGGGTGAAGTGGAGAAGTGTCCTGTGGTCTGACGAATCAAAATGTAAAATTCTTTCTGGAAATCATGGACACTGCATCCTCCAAGATAAAGACCACTCACCTTGTTATCAGTGCACAGTTCAAAAGCCAGTATTCATGATGGTACAGGGGTGCATCTGTGCGCATGTCATGGGTGATGGGCACATCTGTGAAGGCACCATTAATGCTGAATGATACATACAGGTTTTGGCAACATATGCTGCCATCCAGACAACGTCTTTTTCAGGGAAGGCCTTGATTATTTCAACAAGACAATGACAAACCTCATTCTGCATGTATTACAACAGCATTGCTACGTATTAAAAGAGTCCGGGTGCTAAGCTGGTCTGCCTGCAGTCCAGACCTGTCACCACTGAAAACATTTGGTGCATTATGAAATGAAAAATATGACAAAGGAGACCCTGAACTGATGAGAAGCTGAAATCTTATATCAAGTAAGAATGGGAAAAATTTCACTTTCCAAACTACAGCAATTGGTCCTCCTCAGTTCCCAAATGCTTACAGAGTGTTGTTAAAAGAAGAGGTGATGAAACACAGTGGTAAACATGCCCCCTTCCTGACTTTTTTGGAACATATTGCTGGCATTTAATTCAAAATGGGCATATATTCTTCAAAAAACAATGAAATTTCTCAGTTTCAACATTTGATATGTTGTCTTTGTAGTATTTCCTTTAAAAATATGGTTTACACGATTTGCATATCATTGCATTCTAATTTTTAATTTACATTCTGCACAGCGTCCCGACTTTTTTGGAAATGGGGTTGTACGTGTCACAATGTTGAGAGAGCATTATTGCAGCAAAGCAGACATCCTCTGAGGGCTGACAGGATATGTGGGGTGACGCTGACATCTCAAGGCACCAGAAAGGTGATTTTTTTTTTCTAATGCTGACTCATATTAGTTGACCAGAGTTGGTGGCCATGTTGTTTGCAGACTGTGCAGACTTGCTACTGTGATTAACTCACCCTGGCAGTTCCAGTTGAAGGTTCCTCCTCATTAGGTCTACTGTGGCACATGCACCCCCACCAAATACCTCCTCTAAGAAAAGCAAGCAGCGTTTACAACTTAATAAAAACTTTATTTAATCCACTCTTTGGAATGTAGTAGTCATATTGAGAGTGAGTCAAGGGGCCTGGCAAGATTGGTCAATGTGTAGTTGGTGTTAGAGGGCCTTAAAAAATGCATACCCTCTCTGGCCTGGTCTGTTTCTACTGAACAACAACCTGTTAAAAACAATTACACAACATCTTCAAATGAACAGTTAGATGACTGTTACATTTTGACTGTAAATGGCCTGAAACTGAAATAACACTACAGTGGGTCCATGAAAATGATACAATAGGTGAAGAAAGCTGCTTAGTGCAGAAAACTGTAATAGTTTTAGATCTGAATGTTAAAATAACAGTCTGTGACGCTTAATTTTTAGTCACAATTTAATGAAATAAAAAATTCTCATATAAATACATTTCTCAGTGCAACGATAGACTAGTCTATTTCTCTCTGTAGCGGCTCTGTTTTCCTCTACAGACAGCAGTCCAAACCCTCGCTTCTGAACTCTGTAATGACCACATCCTGTAAAAAAAAAAAAACAAACAACCAAAAAACCAAAACAAAAACATGATTTTCTGACACTATCTGTTTAGTATCTTGCCACTGGAGCTCGGCTACAGGTTTTATGCAGCATGAAGAGCGACACATACTGGTTCCTGCACTAAACCCTTTACTGAAGAGTGCTTTCTTCCCTGCTCAACAGAAACAAACAAAAACCTCTTCAGAGCTCTGGAACAATCAACAAAAAAGTATTATTTATGTCATCTTCATAAGGCAATGTGACGACAGTCTAACCACAGTAGCTGCAGAGGGCCATTGCAGTATCCCTGTGTTCTTTGTATCACGGTGCGTTCTCCTCTGCTCGCTCCCTAAGTCTCTGTGGAGTGATGGACGATACTATCTGTACTAGAATCAGTTCTGAAATCATAATATCCATTTCAGTTCCATTTTAAATCTGACCAATATTTAGTCGCAATATGATGATGCATTAGTGGTGTATGCATAGAAAAGTAAAAGTTACAAAGTAAGCCACATTTACAATGTAATCAGTTCAAACTGTTGGAATCTGTATTGTCATTGGCAGATTGAGATGTAGATATTAGGGATGCACAAAGATTTTGGAATCATATCGGTATCTTTTAGCTACACAATGGACTTCTGTTCATTTTAATAGTGTAATTACTTAAATAACATTATTGGCATTATAAAAATATTTAGATTTTACTGATATTTCAAAGTGATGTTTGATGACGTACTTATTGTACTCCAGAAGAACAGAACGGTTAGGTGACTCTGCGCTACTGGGCTAAAATCTCTGCATTTTATTCATTTTACTGCATTTGTAATCCTCTACAAATAAATGTTATACTTCTGTATTTCTCTAAATCTCTCCAGGTAGTCACAATTTATATATCGGCGCTGTAGGAACAGAACCTTGTATCTCCATTTTTTACATATTTTATATTTTTCGACATAATTTGATAATACCAGCTGCTCTTTACATTGTTTCAAAATTTCACAAAATGAACAGACCAATATTCCAAAACTAACTGGAATGAATCGCTGTTGCAAATTTAAGAATGATTTTTTCCTTATCCAGTAAAGATACCATTTTGGAGATATATCAGGTTTTGTTCTGATAGCGACAATATTTTATAAATATTTATGTATTGGCAGATATGCATGAATAATGTCAGACGCAGGCATCAGCCCATAATTCCCATATCGGTGCATCCATAATAGAGAAACTGATTGTTGACATCAGGCAAGAGTTTAATATTGGTAGATTCTTATTGTGGGAGCAGGCACAGTATGTACTAAATTAAAGGAATGGTTTGGTTAAAAATCTTATTTACACAGTTTTCTGCTAACCGCAGATGTAGTTGATCTGCCAAAATGTGGTGGCCAAATTTTGTATCTTTAGTTTAGCGCTGGAGTTATGAAGCTAATGTTGCTAACAAGCAGTAGAAGTCAATAGTCTCCCAAATTAAACAGGTTTTAACAGTTGTTCATAAAAAAGAGACTACAGAAATCGCAAATGTAATCTGTGGTGTCCATGTCTGGGTTTCTGGGTCTGCTGTCTAAAATGGCTGATGTAGCTTTTAGTTACACAATGAAGTTCTGTTCATTTTTATAGCTCACAGTATGTCATGCTGTGACTAAACCACATCGACAACTTTGCACAACCTTAATGAAGAGCTGGAAGTGGTTTGAGTGGGTTGAGAGAACTTTTGAGGATGTGTTCACTGAAAAGATTTTGGTGACTACTTATGTTTAGAATTTGTTAGCACTAAGCTAAAGAAGCAAAATTTGATGTCTTGGCTGGTCAGTGACATCTGGGGTAGGTGGAACCATTCCTTTAATAAATGCTAATGTAAATATGGGAGTGATTATGTGTCTCCTGTTGTATATGTTTCATTGATGCAGATCCTGTGGCCATACAGTATGTCCTTTAGGCAGTGTTCATGAAGCACCGGTAGAATATATGAATAAATTTCACTTTAACCTTTGACTCTTGGCCTGCCGGATGAGATACTGCTCGGAGGATGAGGACTGAGGTGTGACCAGGTGTGAAAAGGCAACAGAAATATGTAAAAAGGCACTATTGGGATGGAACACAAGCCACAAGCCACACACACATACAGGTCCTTAAACTTCCTGAACTCTTTCTGTCTGTGTCTCTTTCTTACAAGCATACATACGCACACGCACACACACGCACACACACCCAAACAAACAGGCACAAAAGCACTAAAATAGTGAAAACTCAGTTCTACACTACAAATGTGTCAATGTCTCTCTCTCCACACGCTTCTTCTTCTTTGAGGAACAAAAAGGGCCCCCAGAACACATAAAGTCCCAACTTGTAGAGAAGATAAATACTTTCATCTTGATTGGTCGCATCACCAGCATCTTTGTATATAAAAAAAAAAAAAACACAAACAAAACAGACAAACCAACAAAGTGACAATCACCACTGACTGTACATTTTTTTTTTCTTTACACACAGCGCCCTCTGGAGGTCTGTCCCTCTTACTGCAGATCCTGAGAAAAGCATGGCTCAGTCTCAAACTACCAAAATGCACTCGCAGCGTTAGTGAAATGGTCCTCAGGCCTTCTGCGAGCCTTTCCTCAGTGTTCCCTCAATGTTAGCCCAGCGTCTGGCCGGCCAAGACTTCTGTACTTTTAACGCCGGCCGAAGCCAGGCCAGTCCTCACGCCTCGGTGTAAGACTTCTGTACACTCACTTTCTCCTTCTTCAGCTTTAGGCTGTCGACCAGCTCAAAGTTGTAGTTTTCGAGGGCGGAAAGGTTTCGGTCGGGGTTTTGTGAGCAGGCGCAGTAGAGCACCACCCCACAGACGGCACCCAGCAGGACCCCCACGGCACTCATCACAATGATGGTGATCAGGATGGGGTCCAGCGTCTTCAACATGGAGCCCCCGTGCACACCGTACCGCCACTCTGAGTCCTCACCATCATCACACTCTACTGCAGAAAGAGAGCAGGAAACAGAGGCAGAGAGAGAGAAGTGGTTACAAGAAAATGTTTTCAGCCAAAATAAACATTCATGAAACTAGTCAAATCCTATACTGACAAAATTATGGCACATACCTACAAAATAGTAGCCATCTTGTATGTCATACGGTGTCAAAAACTACATATTGTTGTTGTTTTAAAAAAAAGAAGTATCTCCAAAATGGTAACTTCAAAGAAGAAGGCAAAACAGCCTTCAGTTTTAATGTAAATGTAATGTAAGTTAGTGTAAAGACATTTTATTTCAAGCAAATTTTGGAGCACTTCTACTAGCCCATTCATTACATTTTCACACAGTGTAAAAGACAGCTGGGCTCAAATGCTGAAGAAAAATAAAAACTGAAAAAAAAGAGATTGTTTTTTTTAGACAGCGACAATAAGCAAGCATATTTGAGAATTTAACAATTCCACATAGTTTGAGGCAAGTGTATGATTTAGCCATGCAGTTAACATAATGCTAATAACTGGATATAAACCATAATTTAGCTACTTTAGCCGTGTAGCTCCAGTGCAAAACTTAAGAAACAAACTTCAGACCCTAAATCATGTCTTAACTGATCAACTACAATGTGCAAACGGGGAACAATGTGTGATGATTATAGTGAAATAATTTCAGTATTCACAGATAACGGGTTTAAAAAAATATTGGCATCAACCAGATGTTTATTTGAGACTTATATTTTAAACTAATATTTGATGATGAGAAGAATGTTTAGGCCAGGGGTATTTAATTAAAATTCAGTAAGGTCCAGTTAGAGATAATTTCCACAAGCAAAGGTCCGGAACATCATAATGTCTAACTTGAATTATGACTCAGTGCTATATACTGTAAACTGAAGTAGCCTAGTAGGGATATCAACATCTTATACAGTCAACAACTGAATGTCAAATCAAATAAAGTACAATTCAGTAATATTTCAAAAACATTTACTGTCAGTTTTCTCTTTTTAGATCACGCCATGAGAAATAACTTCCCTCTGACTCACTTTCTTCTCAGACTGCTGTTTCTCGCCTCGTCCCTCCCCTGTGCATGCGTCACTCACTCGAGTCTCAGTGCTCATCGTAATGCACGGATCTGATTGGCTGAGTAGCGTTACGTGTGATATTTACAACGCATGCGATTGGTCTGTGAGTCCCCCGGGCCGCTAAACCGCTACCGTAAAGGCTAAAAAAGTTACGCTGATTAAAATAGGACCACCCCATCTAAATTAAAGAATGCTCCATAATTTATCGGTTATAGGTCCAGGTCCGCATAGGACAGCGTCTGGGTCTGGACTCGGACCGCGGTCCGCCTATTAGCGACCTCAGGTTTAGGCGATGTTGGGCTAATGTGCTATATCTGCATTTTATTTATTTTCCTGTATTTTTAACCCTCTATGAATGTGTAAGCTTCACCAAAATGCTAATCCAGGTATATGTATTCCCTAAATTTTACAAATGTATATGCATTGGTATTGGCAGATATGTACATAAAAATGATCAGCCAGCAATTCCATTATTGGAGCACTGCAAAACTGTCACGTAAGATTTCTTATAGGATATTCCATCAAATGCTACAAGTTTACATTACATAAAACAAAGAGTCCAGTGATGCAAAAGGTGACATACCAATCTCAGGCTTAACTTCATCAACAGTCATTCCTGGATCGGAAATAAACACAGAAAAAAATGGATTTTGACACAGCCGATATGTGGAATTACCAGCAGGGGGTGATGTCTTACTGTAAGAGAAGGACTGTGGAAGGAAGGGGAGGAGTGGGCTGGTAGAAGATTGGTCTGAGAAACAGTAGGGGTGTGCCAGAATAGTTGAATGAAACTATTGCTATCTGTTTTCCTTAAAATTGGCCTGATCTGTAGCCCACGGCCCCACTAAACATAACAGCAGCGCTGACTAGCACGTGGATCCACATCATACCAAATCAAGATAAATTAAGGAAAGCAGATATGTAAAGAAGTTTCTATTTGGAAGCATCCTGAGGGGTTTAAAGGAATAGTCATTGCCTTTCTTGTAAAGATGGGAGATGCATACAAGATGGTATCAGAGAATAAAGCCCCTCTTACACAAGAATTCAACAGTAATTAATCTGGTTAAGTGTGAACACAAGCCGGCGTCGAAACCCTGGTAAAATTAACATGGCAATCGAAGGGCATGAGACTGAGTACCTAGTTCTAGTACAATTCCTGGAAGGGTTAATGTGTGAGCAGAACCCGATACATTACTAGGAAAGTTGACTAATGTATCTCCTTCTGTTGGTTTTAAATTCAAGCTTTCAGTTTTCATGAGTGGAAAACGTCACAAAGGTGCACACTGTATGTTTCTACTGGCATACCACTCGAGCAGAAACACTGCTCCTTCATTTTCCAAGCTGCTACAGCACAAAGGCGATGCAGCATTGCTGCCAAAGGTAAATGTTTCTAATAAATCTTGTTTTTACAGTCATGTTTTCAGTTTTCATGAGAGAAAAATGTTGTACGACTGTATTTTGTACATAATTCAGAAATGTAAGAACTACTAGCCAGTCACGCTGAAGACTAGGCCACAAATCTGTATCATGGTATCATGAAAATGTCTGACAGTTTTGGTGTATATCATGGTATACAAATAAAACCACTAAAGGTGTTTAAGTAAACCAATATAGGGATAAACCTGTGTCAATATTTATTTCTAATATTTGCCTGACAGGCCCGGCATCACATCTGAGTTTCTACAAAGCTGAAGTGGGCTTCTTTTTCAGCAGGTTTTTGTTCAAATTTTCTGTTCCACCTTAAATGTAGCAGCAGTTACATTCTGGCACATACACAGGTGCCAGAATGTAACTGCTGCACCTTTTAAGGAAGAATGTCAAATTCAAATAAAAAGCCAACTTCAGCATCATCCAATTTCTCAACTCATTTGTCTCATCTGTACTCCTCATACACTCTGTATTGTTACAATCATACATGCTTTAGTACCGAATTCCATGATCCATGGTTTATCACCTCAGCCTAGTCAGGCGGCTTCTCAGGTGGTAGAAGCACAGCAAACATTTTAGTGTCCATGTTAGGCTAAGATTAAGGCAAAGGCTGAACATTCCTGTATGTCTGCTTTGAAAACAAAGTGGACTTCTTCAGACTAGACAGCAGGTGGTGAGAGTCTGCGTTTCCATTTTCATTTCAAATGTGACTAAAACACCCCTGACTCAGCCACTCAGATAAACACATTAGGTTTAAACAAGTTAGCATGGCTTTCACTGTTAGTATGTGGTGCTATCAGTGGTTTTTGTGGCATATCGGTATAATGGTTATGAAGAATTTAAACCAGTACACTGGAGGACATCACGTCCTGATCAATGTGTATCATAGTAAAATACCATTTAAGTGCTGCAAGTGTTAATCAATCAAAGTCTGAACATTAGCGGTAAAAGTATGGCAATAATGTAACAGGGTCTGAGTGTGAAAAGGGCTCAAGAATTGGAGGAACAAAGAAGGGCTGGACTTACCCTGACACTCTGCGGATCTCACGGGAATAATTCTTATATTATCCACAGAGATATGACCAGCTGATGCGCCGTCAACCACACCCTCAATGATCACCTAACACAAACACACGTGCACAAGGACAGACAGGTGACGTTAAGATAAAGTACAATGAAAGTCAACACTGTACATAAAATATATTCCCTCAGTACAACTTTGTCTTCCAGTTTGCCAATAATTGTGTTATTTTTGTAAATGTGGAAATGATGCATGTTTGAATAGAGTACATTCAATACTCAGGTGTGTTGTCATGGTTACCTGATATGGTGCGTCAGCATGTGGCATCAGGACTCTTCCTTCCTTCCAGCGGCCGGTCTCTTGCCTGTCCATCTTCCACAGGAGCACTTCCTCTTCTGTTGTTCTTTCATCTTTCTCTCCCTCAACTCTTTCTCCTTGATCTTCTCCTCTTTTCCCCTCCTCCTCCTCTCCACCTGCCTTTCTCCTCTGTCTGATATGTAGAGTTCCTGTGTGTTCTCCAGTAAAATGGTACCAGAATGATACACACAGGTCTTCTTCAGGAGCTGTGACCGGCAGGCTAACCAACCGCGCCCACTTACTTTCTCTCTCCACCCTTTCTTTGTCTTCTTCCATCTCTCTCTCTTTTTCTGCCTCTGCTGTTATTTCTGTTTCCATCCCTCCCTCTTTCTCCGACGCAATCTCTGTCTCTAACTCTTTTTCTCTCTCTGTGACTGGGTGCAGCATGTCTGTGGACAGTGCAGTGTAGATGAAGTTTCCTGGTTCCCCTGATGATACACAAACATAACCAGCGATGAGTTCACATAATAAAACACATTTAGACGTATTTTACAGTTAACCCTTAGAAGTCTGTGATAAAAGTGTGGTGTAATTCTATAATAACTAGTAAACTCGTAGGTCATTTAAGACTCAAATACACAAATATAGAAAATCTAATATCAATGTAATTCCTAGTGTAAGTAAGTGTTAGTATAAGAGCTTCTGCTAGCCATTAAATAAAGGTGTTTGACTGATAAAATCTCCAAAAGGCTGGCAAATTAAAATTCTTCCCCCTGGACTCCAGGCCTCCATTCCTGACCCGAGCACCAAGATAGTAATGCAAATAAAGTTTATTTTATTTCAGGTTTATTTTAGTTTTGTCTCTTCATTATTTTTCACCAATGCTACAGTTCCACGCCTCAAAAAGGTCAAAATGGCACGCCCTTATTCGTGAATGTAGGAATTTGCTGAAGTAAATAATGTTAGGATAGTGAAAGCCATGGCAGTTTGCATTTTCTGTTTCAAACATTTAAAGGCTATGCTCACGTTTTTTGTCCATAAACATAATTTAATAATTTACAATCAAAGACATTTTCACATTATCTTCTGCGATAAACAAAAGTAGACAGATAAATGTTCTCAGGTTTGCTGTTCAAGCCCTAACTACTGCATTAAAACTCGAGTGCATCTCAAGCAGTAGAGAACCTTTAGATATATATTTTTTAAGCAGCAATAAACCAACAGAATGCTTTTGTAAGAGGCTGTTGGAGAATAAGTGATAGGTAACATTTGGACTAGCCTTTCATGTCATGTGGAAACACAGTGTAGGTTTTATACAATGATATGACTGGAATTTTACACATTTGTCAGGAATATCATTTCCCAAACACCCTATCCGGCACCATAACTATGTAGCGGAAACCCTGCTTACTAATTCATTAAATATTTAATTATATAATTAAACTGGAATAGTACAGCAGAACAAAAAAGTAATACTGTGTAATTTAGTTCTGCATAAATGATAAGTAAAATCTCACCTCTGTAATCCACTTTGGGCAGTTGGAGATCAGAGGGTTTGCCATTGCTTTGTACGAGCCAGTTTACTCCTCCGATGCTTTCCGGTATCCACCCACAGTAGGAGGGGTTATCAGTCCAGCCAAAATCACAGTCAAACCAAATGAACTCTACACAAGGTACACAAAAACAAAAATTGAACCTTCTATAGCACTTTCAGCTAACTTCATTTCATAAATGATAAAGTATTTTTATGATCAAAAGAGCTTGAGAAACATCTCCATTCTAGGCAAATACCTGCTCATTAAAGACCAGCTTGGTCCACATCTGCTCGCAATTATTTTCTGATTCAATTCAATTTATTTACACAGTATGTTTTACAATAGTCTTTGCACCAAAATAGCTTGACAGAAATCTGCAAGCTAAGGACGACAGTGGCAGGAAAAACTCCATAAGAACGGGAGGAAGGAAAACTGAGAGGAGCTCAAAAGAGAGACCAAAATCCTCTGGTCAACACAGGATTGTGGAATTACAATAGAAAGAGCACTGCGGTCTGCTGTTTTTAATTTAATGCAGTGGCACACAGCAATAGCATCTTCGACCAGCTCTGTTCTTAATTTCTTCACTTGCAAAAAGCTAAAATGAGACTTTTCTCCTTGCAGACCAGCTTTATGCAATCAAAGGAGGACTGGAGACAGTTTAACTGTAACTGTTTTATATTGATAATTTTGGGGATAAATTGTGTAGTTCTTCAAAGCACCTCACGGGGGCAGTAAAGAGCTTCAAGAGGTCTTTGCACAGGGAAAAAATAAGTGAATCAATGAAGAGTTCACTCAGAAGCTGCATGCCCTTCCACATGGTCCCTAAGCAATACCCTTACATTCACTACACACTGAGCACAGGATGTCAAAATTTCTGCATAATTCAGTGACAGAGATTCTGATTTCTTTACTGTGGTGGTGATAGGAACCAGGGTCACGTCACAATGTTTACAACATAAATATAGCCATTTTATTTACCAAAACCACCACTGAATCTACACATACCTTCTGAGTTGTTATGTGTCCTGTTAATAATGGTAAAATTGAAAATATATGATTTCTTTGGGGACTATTTTGCCATACAATGCCTTGCATGTATCTCTCTGCCATTAATATGTTTAAAAGATGCATCTCAGGCCAATAAATTGCAGAGAGAGAGAAGGAGAGCAATAGAAAGAATGAGAGTATCTCAGACAGTGTGCCTCCAAAGATTTGGTCTAAAAACACTACGTATTTCCAGACTACACAGCAGACAGAAATAGAGACTGAAAGAGCTCTATTTGGAACACCAAACATGATATGTTGGGTGTGTATGCGTGTGGCCTGATCCCACAACACAAAAACAAATCTGTCCCTCTCTTCCTGTCTCCTCCTCCACTTGGGAAAACCCATGCTGCAGTTGTAAATGACAAACCTTTCAGCTGAGTGTAACGTTTTTCATGACCAGCCATTTTAAACCACCTATTGCTGATACTGTGCCACAATGACACGAATATCCACTAATGGATGTGTCAAGGGTTCAGAGGAAATGAGCAAAGTTTTCTATTTTCTGCAACGGGATTGAGCCGCTATGTCGCTATGTCTGGAAATGGGAATTCTTAGCATTTTAGCCTAAGGGGGCATATCCAATTAGGAACAGCCAACCCAGTGTCTAAATCTTCAGTGTGTCTGCACTAGCACTAGGAGGCATTCCTGCTTAAATCCCTTTTGATTATATCATAATCATTCCTGAGCGACGAATGTCTTCATTGCATTTGCACTCTGTATGTGTTTTTAAATGCAAAGTAACTCATACAACTGGCCTGTAACTAACTGACTGATTGACTCACTCATGTTTAGCAGGCTGAAAATTCTCCACAAGGGGGCCATTAGAAGTGAAATAGCTTTCAATGCTTCACAAGAGCAGCGCTTTACATCAGCGATCCTTGTTGATCCTGTTAATGTACATTCTAGCAGCTTGTGAGCGAGTGTGGATGTATGTAATGTTCCTCACCTGGTACCATGTCTACATCCAGTACTGGCTCCTCTGCTGTGGTATTTGCTGTCAAATGACAGACAAATAGTTATAAGCAGATAGACAGAACACAGAATTCACTGTTTATGTAGGTGTTTGTGAGTACATTTGTGTTTCTGTTTGAGTGTTTGTGGGTGTTGCTTGGAGTGTATGTATTACCTGTTGGCTCATAATCTTCACTTGTGCCTGTTCCACTGTGACAATTTGCTGATTCGTCATCACAGTCTTCCGTCAGCATGGCAACGGTCGTGGTGTCTGGGCTGATTACTGGAGCACTGGAGGTTACCACCACTGTTGTGGTAGGAGGAAGAGGAGTGGTTGGGGCAAGAGGAGTGGTGGTCTCTGGAAAAGAAGGTACACAACAGTGTTTAAGCAGAGTTGCATGTAAAAATTTTGAGTAGCGCTGATGCCACAAAAGTTAAAAGTGTTAAAACTCCATATAATAAGGAACAAACTGTCGTTTTAACTGTGAAAAAAAGGAGCATGTAAAATAATTTGTTTTTTATATAATGTTCGTTTTGTGAAATGTACAGGGAATCCACAATAACTCATTCCCACTATTAGCACTCAAGTAGTGTTTTTTCTGTATCTTTAAATGAGAGGAAACTCACACCAGCAGTAATGCACATGGCTGAAATCATAAATTTTAAAGCGAAGTAGTTTATAATCTAAAAGTAATGTTCGATGTTATTTAATATGTGATTTTTCATTCAGCATATTATTATTAAAAACAGGCTAAAGATGGTCTATAGGCTAAGGATAGCCAAAGCAATAGGTACAGAAGGGGGGTGCCTAAGCTCCTGAATCCAGAGTCTTTGAGGTGATATTTTTTTCAGCAGGCAAAATGTAAAACTCAAATCATTGCTAGCTTTACGTATTACAGGACAGCCCCCAACTAAAAAACTTTTGGGCTTATGGATTGTATTAGAACTTAACCTCACACGACTATAGTTAAGCAAATGCCTTGGGCAGTGGGGAAATGTTTGATAATGCACAGACCACATAGTTAACAGCTCATGAACAACTGACTGAATAACTGAATACAAATTCCTTGAGCACTTAGACACACACACAGGTAGGTCTATTACATGCGTGCAACTGTGATCTTTTTTTACAGAGGATTACTTTCTCCTATCTCATGTAAGAGTATTGATACATTGTACAGCACTGGTTTAAGGATATTTCATTTTCAGAGGATCTGCATGGACATAATTGAAAAATGAGTGTTCACTTGTTTCACCGACACAGTTTTATTATTCATTTTGCTATTTAATTTTGTATTTGAACTCAGAAATGCTTGTATTATGGTGGTAAGTAATGCAAGTTAAATATTGCAACATTTGTAAATGCAGTCATGGCAGATTACTACAGTTTTTCAGAAACAGATTCATCACTTGCACTCAAAGTTTTGTGGACTACTTTGTCTGCCACCACGGGTGCTCAAATCTGTGCTTGTTTCTTTGATTGTGATTGGTTTTATAGTATGTATGCTTGGCTGCGTTGTTGGTTGAATGTTTTTGGTCACTCACGTTCTAGGTCACAGCCCAGCAGTTCCAGTCTGAGCCCCATGCCATCAGGTGCACCGCGTTCGGGATACAATCGCACAAAACGCATCATCAGAGGGTAAAAGGAACGCACCTCTGGGGTGTCGTGGTTCTGGTTTCCTGAGAACGTCTGCACAGAGAACAGAAGAGAGAAGCAGAGAGGGATGAGATAAAAAGAACGAGTCTCTTCTTTATCTTTTCTCCCTTTCCTTTCTGTGTGTGAGCCAGCTGCAAGTTTATTAGGTACATCTACCAGGTGCCCTTTACAGGTTTACAATTACTGACTGTAGCTAATCTGTTGCTGCACAATCAGCCCCTTCTACACCATGAATAAATGGAAAGTGATCACAACAAGACCACTGCTGAGCAGACATTATTTGGACAGTTGACTATTCTCAGCACAGCAATGACACCAGCATAGCAGTGTCATGGTAGTGTGTGTTGTGCTGGTCTGAGACACTGTGAGGGTTTTTACACAAGTCACTGCTGGGCTGAAAGTTATATGTGGGTGTAGTAAAAGTTAGTATTTATGGTGGGTCAAGGGCCAAAAAACATGCAATTTTACAAGGAAAATAAGCTATCTAATAAGAATTTACTAATCTATATAAGCCCACTCATCATATAAGCTGCTTATCCTCCTGGGTCACGGGGGTGCTGGAGCCCTATCCTAGCGCTCATTGGGCAGAAGGCAGGAAACACCCTGGACAGGTTACCAGTCCCTCACAGGCCAGACACACAGACATACACATAATGTATATAAGCTATATATATATAAAATAATCTTTATTCTCTCATTGGATGCGGTGGTGGGATTGTGTTTTTTTTTGGTGGACCAATTCAGACTCTCTTTAGCAAACTTTGGCCTGTGGGACACATACTGGGCAGCTCTGTGCCTGAGTATCGCTAACACAAACTACAAACTGAATTGTTAAATTGTTCAGGTGTAAATATTGAAGGGCTACAGTTTCTTACTTTCCCCTTCCCCCCCGAACCTGAGTTTTGGTGCTATTCTCTTCCCGTACGTAGCTCCAGTCAGATCCATTAATGCTGTAGCCCAGCTTAAAGCGTCTGACAAACACACTCTTGTCTCGGTGCTTCCCTCCCTGTACGATGACTCCGGTGACCCAGCGGGTTGCCCCAAGATCCAGCTCCAGCCACGGGGTGTGTGTGAGGCCCTGCGGGACATGAGACACCCAGCCAGAACGGCCGGTCAGCAGCCTCGCCTGCTCCGGTAACCACCCTCTCTCCATCTCTGGCCACACAGAGATCTGAGCATCCGAAATGTGACCAGAGACCATCCCTAACATACTGGAGCAGGGAAAGTCTGTGAGAGAGAGAGAGATTGGGAGAGAGAGAAATAGAAAATATAAGCTTATTTCAGTGAGTGTACCGAGTCACACACATACACAAGCACACACACATACCATAGAACTGAGAAGGTTATTGTTTCTCACTTTGCTGACTCGTGATTTCCCTCCCTAGTTACATCACTTTCAAAAGCCATTTTTTACACACATTGGAGGCTGGCATTTCTGCTGTGTGCGCATTTGTGTATATACAATTGCGTGATATCTGTGTGTTTTTGTCTGCTTCTGTTTTGGTACCTGATATTTTGCAGCCATACAGTTCAAAGCGCATACAGATGCCATGTTGCCAGGTCAGAGGACGTATCCGAATATAGCGTGTCAGGGTGGGTTTAGGGAGGAGAGAGCGCACCTCATCAGTAGGGTTTGTATTACCCTGAAACACCTGGGAGAGAACACACACCCATACATCATTCACAGACCGCACACAAACTCATATATTCAGAAAAACATTCTGGTTTCTTTGTAACCAATTACATAACTGTGTTGATATAATATGATCTATTCATGTGGAAATGACATACATATTTGAATCAAGTCAATGGATCACCTATCTTCTATCAAATTCAATGCAAAACCAAACCAAATCAACTACACCTGACACATCTTAGGTCCACTGAAGAAATTAGACAAAAAGCCAAAGGTGCCCTTCTAGAAGACTGCATTTCTCGAAGGCTGTACCCTTATAGGTTCCTTCAAATGAGGCTGAGAAATGCACTTTTCTGAGAGCTGGTGTGTCTTTTCAAACCTACAATCACCCAAATTTTTTCATGCATAGTGCAAAAAACATTTCAAAAATGCTGAAAAACAGCTGTGGGTTTATAATGAAATATGCATTTTAATGTTTGTAAATGTAGCATTTAACCCTCGAGTGCACAATGTTGCCTCAGGGCAACAAACTCATTTTCCTCACTTTACAATAACGTTATACATATATTTAAAGACAACGATAGGGTTAACAAAAAATGGAGGACTTTGCATAAGTCAATAAAAAGCATGTACTTGGTCATACTACCTCTTAGCGGGCACTTTTAAACCTCTTTTTTAACATTCAATACAATTTTTTTTTGTTATGAGAATTTGCAGAAATATGTTTGTTGTCTAGAAGCAACATTGTGGATTTAGCCAGTCACAAGCCAGGTCTCACTACTTCAGGGAACACGGCTCTGTGTAATTTTTTCCCCATTGTCACACAATGTTGCCTGTAGGCAACATACTCCAAAAGGACCCCATTTTATTTTATGTTTTTTAATTTAATAATCGGGTCAGAAAAAATAAATCAAGGATCATTTTATGCAAGAAAAGTGAACTGAATATTTTTTATTTCGTAATTGCTCTCATAATGCTTGCAGTAGAGGGTTAAATGTCCATGACATGTTGTTACTAAGGCTGTCCTGACTTTATTTGAACTAGCACTGAAGAGGAGCTTTCATATACCAACACTACACTGACGAATGTCCTAAAAGGGGATCTCCAGCAAGAGGATGAGGGACCCCTGCCCTTCTGTCATTATAGTTTTCACCACAAGAGGATCTTCTTTAGACTCATACCTTGTGCTTGTTTCCATCCTTCACCATGATCCAATCTTCTCCATTGCTGCTGATGCTGACTTTATAGGCCTTCACATAGTAGGCTTTCTTTGTCTCCTTAGAGATGGCTCCTTGGGTTCCTATAGCCGAGACATATCGGAGGAAACCCAGATCCACCTGAGGGAGAGGGAGAGAGAGAGGGTCCTTGAGCCAATTTAAAGAAAATTATAATTAATAATTGAAAAACACACAGGAGGTTCTGTACGCTGGTAGATGTACTTTGCATAAATATATTAGCTAAGAAGCTAATTAAATGTCGACTACACAATAACCCCATAGCATTAATGAACAGTTACATTATCCCTGGCTAAAGCAAGTGTGACCTAGAAATCTTCATGTACACACACCCACTTTGTTGGGTACATCTCCTTGTATCTACACTCATTGTCCATTTAATCAGTTCTACTTACCATTTAGGCGCACTTTGCAATTCTATGATTACAGACTGTAGTCCACCTCTTTCACTGCATAATTTATAAGCTCCTCTTTAACCCATTTGGCAATGATCAGGACCCCCACAGGACCACCACTGAGCAGGTATTATTTGGGTCATGGATCAGCAGTGAAGTGACACTGACATGGTAGTGAGATATTAGTATGTGTTGTGCTGATATAAGTGGATCCGACGCCACAGTGTTACTGGAGTGTCCACTTACTGTCCACTCTATCAGACACTCCTACCTTGTTGTTACATGTTGTAGATGTAAATTGAGAGACAAAAGCCCATCTGTTGCTGCACATTTTGTGTAGTCCTTCATCAGTGGTCAGTTTCTGGCCACAGGATGCTGTTGGCTGGTAGGCTATGCTCAGTCCAGCAGTGACCCTGAGCTGTTCTAAAACCCCATCAACACTGCTGTGTGTGATTCACTTATTGCAGCACATACACACTAACCTGTGAGTGAGAATGGTCCAAAACTCAAATAATACCTACTTAGAGGTTGTCGTGAGGGTCCTGACCATTGATGAATGAGGTAAAGGGGGGGCTAACATAATATGCAGCAAAACTGATGGACTACAATCTCTATAATCATAAAAGTACAAAGTGCACCTACATGATAATGCCTAGCAGACACTACACGATTTTTAAAATCTCAAAATTTTTAGACTCAGTATACTGATGCCTGTGACCTGCTGCTACATAGGCACACAAGCGATGAGGCTCACACACTCCACAATCTTTCACTTGAAGATATCTGTGAGAAAATCTGCTTGATGACAAAACCCCACTGTGTCACAGGAATAAATGTGTTTAAAAGGGTTTATCATGAGTGAAACTGGAGCTTGAGAAACCTAAATGTTGTTTCTACAATAATTTGTGCAGAAAAGAAGAAAAAAAGGAAAAGTGTGTTTTTAATCTTTTTCAAACAATGAATCATGCTCCTTCCATAGCCCCCCTTCGTTTCTTGGGTCCACACAGAACATGAGTGGCCAACGGCAGCACAGAGGAGAAAGCTGCTGGAAATGTACACTTAGAGGCTTTAATGAGATCTTTTCTCCAATAACCTCTTTGCCATGATTTGCCATGACTGTTTCTGGTTTGGTTGCTCGTGCCACACAAGTTTTCTCACGCTCTGATTAGCTGCTGCTCATTACTGCTCCCACTACTTGGTGTAGAGGCGCCAACATTGCAAGATTCATTGCATATAATTTTAAATATGCTTGAAAATATCTGGGCGTCTGCGACAGCTTGCAGACTAAGAAAATCAGCTGAAACATTCACATTACATGAGTGGTTGTCATGGGTGCATGGTAGCGATTTGTTGCCGAGCAGGGAGGGAGGTTTTTGTTGCAGATCTCAAAAATGTGTCAGCGATTGGAACATCAAGGCTAAAAGTAGTGTGCACTGGACCTTATGAAATAAGCACTGAGTGTAGATTAGATATGTGATTAATCAACTTATCATTAACCAACAAACAGTTGTTTGACCAATGCAATCAGTTAAAAACGTAAATTTTATTTCATTGCCATTAAACGCCAGTTCCTACTTGAATCAGCAGGTTTATCCTTCCAGTTTATCCAACATTTTTTAACTGTACGCATGACAGTAAAATGGGCAATTTGTTCTGCTAAATCTGCCTGTTAATAAAAAAGTGTGCAGTTAAAAATAGTGTTCAGGACCACAACTACAGCAAGGTATTACACCCAAAGCAAACAGCTGCAAAACAACAAGAAGGATAATGATTGCATCGTACACAAATCACATATGGGTGTATAAGGTTAGAGAGAAGGACGTGGTGGAAGACTTTAAAGAGCCCCTGAGGTACACTGAGCCAAAGCAACAGAGGTACACTGAACTAAACCTAGCCCCAGTCATGGCATTTATGTGTATTACTATGTGGTAAATATAACTGTAGAACAGGGGTTCCCAATCATATCTGCAAAGGACAGGAGGGCCAAAGTTTCAGTCTAATAAAGCAGAAGCACATCTGATTCCAATCAGTTGGTCTTCAAACAATTGATTAGGTATGCTTCTACATTGTTGGAATAAAATCCTGCAGCCTCACCGGCCTTTTGCAGATAAGACTGGACATGCCTGCTTTAGAAAATAGAACTTTCAGTAGTCCATTAATATACATTCCAGTCATTCCATCAACTTTTCAGTTTTTGGCCATGGATGTATAGTTATCCATCTCTCAGTCTAAACAAAACTGGGTTTTTATAACGGGGAGGTTGAATATGGTTTGGGGCTGTTTCGCCTTCTACGGTCCGTTCTACAAACAATTTTTAATACAGAATTTGAATGTGGCTCAGCCAATCAGATTTCAAAACAGAACTGTCTTATAATTGATATTTTCATGGGTTGTGTTTCTGATTTTAAGATGATGGTCAGTTTTCAGTCTAAAGAATTTGCCAAAATTTGCATCCCCAGAGTAGATACAAGGTAGGTGTAGTTAATACAGTAGCCAGTGAGAGCATCTCAGAATCAGAAGTGATATGTCATGAGTTCACTGTCCACAGCATGACTTACAGGAGAGCGAAATTCGAGTGAATCAGCCTGATCACACTCACACACTTCTCACTGTACACAGCTGATACAGTTCACAGTCTGTGCAGTTTCTACATTTTACTCTTTCCATGTGGCGTGTCTTGATGAGTCACAGACCCACAGAACAAAGTGTATTTTGTCCTGATCACGAGTCAGTGTTTGACTAGAATCAGTCTAGCGTATGATATCTATCAGAGGCACTACTGACAGTCTGTTACCGCTCTCATGCGCTCAATCACGTCAGCATGACTCTAAACAAATGTCTGATTTAGATATCACGCGCGCGCACAGGCAGGAAAAGGCAGCTCAAGAGAGCCAAAGCTCTGTTACTCGCAGAGCCAGAACACAGGGGAAAGTTCTAGAATGGAGCACCCTCATTCTGTCAGATTCTATTCCGAGTTCTAGCGTTTCCTGTACATTATGACATCACAGTGACTCAGCTATAAAGACGAAGGTCTGATGTGTGATCAGCTTACTGATTATCTGAACTCTGTAATGATACAGTCTGATTCATTCTGTCTGAATCAGCGTACAGGAACTCCATAACCCGACACGGCGCAGGCTGACAAAGCATGTTCTGCAAACTCCTTTCTCAAAATGCAGTTGGGGAAAAAAACTAACTCAAACCAGCTGTCTTTTTCATGCTTTAGTGAAAAGGAATCCTGAGACTGAACTAGGGAATGGGCGCAGAGCATAAAAATGAAAAAAAAAAGGCTGAAAACACTATCCATTTGCTGTGTTGAGCCTGATCTGGACAGATCAACTATTACCCACTCGATCTCTGCTAAGCCTCAAAAGCTGCACTTATTGACAGTGATAACAAAAGCATGGTGTAACTTGATATGAATGATTTCTCACTTAAAGCAAGAAGAGAAAATCTGTCTCAAGTGTGGATTCTAAACTTCCAATTGAATCTACATTTGTATTTTAAGTACAAGAGGAGACACTGTCTTATGTTTTAAATCTGATGAAGGTTATTGTTGTGCTGTCAGATAAAAAGGTACTGCAGAGACACATTCTTTTCATCAAGGTACCAATGTAACTGTTTGTACCTTGTACAAATATATACAAATGTACCTGTACCCTCAAAGGTGATGTTAAGGTCAGTTGTTACATATTTGTGCCTTTTCATAGTCTAATGTTTGAAAAACAGAACAATAAAAAGCCTGGAGACAAGACAGGGCATGTGGAGTCAAAACGACTTAAAAAATGTAATTACAGTGGAATACAGTACAATTACGTTCCCCAACTTAAGGTACTGAAGATGTACCCTTGAGTGTACTACCTCAGTGACAGTTTAGTACCTTCTTTATGAGAGAGTAGGGAATATGACAAAGATTTAATGTTATGATACACAATATGTATCACGACTACCAAAAACTGAGTACAGCTGAATCTAATTAAACATGACTAATTATCCTCTCTTTGTAATGAAACATGCAGCTGGTCAGTGTTCTTTCAATAATGATGATAAAATAGATGATAAAATGCAGTCATAGCACTGTGGGCACCCCTAATGTACAGTCTTATTTTGTAGAAAGAAAAAACAACCTTAACATTTTTGCCACTTTTTTGTAGAAAAAGGCTCAAACCTTTCAGCATAGAATTTAAAGTGACTGTGAATGTAATTCACTGTGAAGCTCATTATGTAATTAAGTAATTACATTTGAACACCATAGCACAAAAAGTAATAACTCTCAGCTCTGAAGGGTAAACTCCCATTTTCACCTCCCTTTCATTCTGTACAGGGGAAATTCAATTGATTATACAGTGTTAGCAACATTTGCCCGCACAGTAAATATGCTGTTCTGAAGTGGCCTCTGTCTAGACTCCTTATGTGGGATACTTTGTGACAAATGGAACTCGCCCCGGTGCTGGAGCGAGTTGTATAAATAGCTGATTGAGAGTCTGGCGCTGGCCTCAGCTTGGCCGGGGCTACTGGCAGAGAGAGGAACATCTCCCTCTCTCTCCAGGCTTGGTTTCAACCCAAATCTCTGTCTTCCTCTCTCTCTCTCTCTCTCTCTCTCTCTCTCTCTCTCTCTCTCTCTTTCATAGAGACGTTCAGTATCTAATTGCTATTCAATATTGCGCTGGTCAGTGCCAGCCAGTGACAGTGGGGCATCCAGCTGGACACAGCTGCCATTAACAAGCTTAACGACTCTTAACGAGCCTTAAAGTGTGCTAACGAGAGAACAATGGCAGGATAGACATGGACCCTCACAAACGCACCGTGACCAAATGCACCTCAGACAAACAAAAAGACCTCTTCCTGAGAAAAACAGGATATTGCTTCGTGTGTATGTGTGTGTGCGTGTGGAAGGAAAGAGGAATGCACCGCTGAGATGACCCACTTGTTGGTCTGTTTTCTTAAGGAACAGCCGGAGCCAAAGCCAGACAGAGAGAATGCAGTCGGCCGTTTGGATTCTTGGAGACGTCAGGCTGCAGACTGAGTGGTCTTCAGTCACACGGGGGGTAAAATATCTGAAGACTACGCATTTAACCATATCGTACCTAACGTCTCACTGGGGATACATTCTCAGACTTTGGCAATGTCTTCTCTAACGCATTAAAATCTACTGCCAGAGTAGTTGGCATGTCTGTTTTGGCGAGTAAAATGGATTAGCATGTGGAATTGGGGCTTTCTGTGAGCTACTGTGTTTTCTATCACAGTATAAAAGATGCATCGCACTGCCTTTATTGTTGGATGCTCTGTGATTGTCTGTGTAACAGCCCTTACCCACCAAACGTGAGGCGAATAAGCAGCACGAAAACGCTCAGACATAGGGCTGGGTGAATCTAACTTAATTTTCAGTTACGATTTTGGCTTCCAACAATTAAGAAAATAAGATAATCAAGATAAAAAGATTATTATGTTGTATTCCATTTTGCAAAAAGTGTTCTTGTTTTGTTTTGTGGTATAAATCCAGTGCACCCCTTTCTTTTATTTTTTGTTTTTTAGTTAAATTATATTTAATGTTCAAGGAAATCCATTGTTAAAGGACAAGCTTTTAAAAGTTCAAAAAATGCATGATGCTTTCAAAGTCAATGAGTAACTGTGTTAAATAATAACGGGGCTCATTCACCAATAAGTTTTTTCTTAAATGTGTTCTTGAGAAAGGTCCTAAAAAAGTCTATGTCAGATTCATGACATGATCTTAAACCGCAGAATTGTTCTCACCTTTGTGCTCTTGTGTGTGTAGATTCTGTTCTTACCTAAGAACAAATCCGAAATAAGAAAACACTGGTGAATGTCAGAATATTCGTGAAAACTGCGTAAGTGTGTTTCAAGAACGGTTGGTGAATGAGGCCCATTGATCTCAACTTTGACCAAAATAATCGTGATTTGATTTTTGCCATAATCAAGCAGCCCTATGCAGACATATTCAAAATGTTCAGACAGGATTTTTTTCACATCAAAACTATACACATCAGATGCTAGACAATTTCTGTATGGATTTTTGAGGTGTTGTTTGAGCCACAAAAAAAGATGCATTTTTGCCTGTTTTCATAATTTGAAAATGCCAGCTGCTGCTTTTCATTTTGGAAAAGGGAAAGCTGCACAGAGAGTTTCACAGCCTCAAACCTCACAAGTGCTTTTGGACACAGCTCGGATGCCCGTAACTCAGTCTGAGCTGCTTTTGGAAATGCAGGGACCACCTGTGACGGAGCAGAAAACAAACTAATCCTTTTGATGTTTGTCACAATGTGTAATTGCAGGGACACAGCTGATCAGTCAGCTTGAATGTCACCGTGCCAAAGGCAGAGACAACCACGACTGGTCGAGTAAATAAAAACATCACAGAAAACAAACTGAAAGTGAATAAAACAATACTGTATTTTCAGCATCCACAAAGTCCCACTGGGTGTACAAGACATCATGGTAGTTACACTATTGCTGTGTTTTCTCTCAACATGTTAAGGGTTCTTAAAAATACCTGATGAGTTAAATCTGATGCATCACATATGAAAACACAAAAAATGTGAGCCATTGTCTTATACAGACATACTTTAGCTACCACACACACACACAAACATGCACAGCAGACACCCTTGACACGCTGCAGTATCTGCCACTCAATAGAATCCATCGGAAAGGTCAATGTGTTGACTTTAGGCTCATTAACTCAGTCCAATCTAATCAGTGTTAGCTAATTAGTGTGAAAGCAACTGGCTTGATGTATTCAGTTCCCATAGAACATTTGCTGCAACTCTCTCTCCTTCTCTCTCCATCCTTTCATCCTCAAAGACATTGTCTCAGATGGTGAATGTGTTCTCCAGATGGAGGTTTGTTTTCCTGGTTGCGTCAGAAACATTGGCGCAATGTCAGCCTAACGCAACGCTCGTCTATAAATACGTCTTCACTATGGAAGGAAACCCTCCCTGTTTCTACACCAGTGGAAACCATAACATGTCAATCAAGGCAGCTAGAAAAAAACACAAGCCACCCCCTATGTGTGTGTGTGAGGGGGTAAATTACACTGGTTGTTGGTGAATGAGACAGTAAAGTAATTCCATGATCAACATCAACTCCATTAAAGATACCTTCTGAAATCGTTCCTTATACTATAGAGAAAGTGAACATTATGGTGAGTGCCTTGATTAAACGTGTTCTAAATAATCTATAATAACACAAAATAATGTTCAAATTCCCGGGCCTATCTAAAGAACTTCTGTGGTTTTGTTCTGTTTCTTACAAATATCCTGACCAAACAGGAAAGAGTGATCATATTGGTTCAAATGATGGCTTCTAATACTATCTTTCATTTTCAGCAAAATATTTTAGATCATTTAGATTTAGACTAAGTGGATCATCTCTAATTGTGATTATAAGAAACACTACTTTAACAGAAGCACAATTCATTACTCTTGACATGTATGTATACCACTACTGTTTCCATTGTATTAGTAAATGATGTAGCTATGTTGTATACTGATTTTCTTCCGATGGTCACTTACACTAAAGCAGTCATGGGAAAAACTGTGATACCATGTTTGTTAAGTCTTAATCTTTGTCAAATAAAAGAATATAACTGAGCTTAGCCCTTTGCCTTCTTCTCTGAAGCCATTTCACCCAAGGCCATTTGAAACAATCCATCTCGCCTGCTGAACAAGAGCTGAGACGTCTTTATTCATGTATTTTTCCTAAGACAGAATTCATTTTTCAGTCTGAAACTGGGCACTGTGGTGAGGATGTACTAAAATGTACATACTGCAGAGGCAGCTTTTTGTCTAGAATTCAGTCTTGAGCTGAATTTTAGACTGTCGCTATTGATGACATTAGGAATCAAGCATTTGTGATGCTTAACATTCTGTTTAACAAGTGCAGCTGTGTTTCAGGAACAGTAATCTATATTAGACATTAAAGTAGCATATCATATCAACCAACGTTTAAACGTTCCATTATGTTTACGTGTGGGAATACTGCTGTCCAGCCATAGTTTGCACAAAATAAACTGTGGTAAAATAACTTGCAATTAACCATCACCGGGCATAGGCCTAGAATTCATACTTACAAGCCTACATGCAAACCTAAACTTAATCTCAGCATCCAACATTACTTTTTTTTTTTTTACATATGAATTTATGCATGTGCGCACACACAGACTCAATCACACTTTGCTCTGTGTAGGGAGGCTGATTTTTTTTAGACTAGGCAGAAACTTGGCAGTCCATCTGGACAGACTCTGTGGTTTCTTCTTCTTTCTCTTACCACATACATGCACACAGGTAGAACTTTCAGTCTGTAGCTGTACACCTATTAGTAGGCCTGCAGAATTTAACAAGTATGTTGTATAAGAAGCGATAATATCCCCAAAATAGACTAACTTGGACAGTTGGACATTGCCCACTCAGCTCTTGTGTGTACAGTGTGTGTTTGTGTGTGTTTGTTAGCGTACCTGTATCCACTCTCTGGTGGAGTCTTCTGACGGCGTCCAGCCATTACTGGAGAAGTTCAGTCGTGAGCGGAGAGGAGACCAACTGGGGTTGTATTGGGAAGAGGCTGTAATTGCATCATTACTAATCTCTCCTGATTCCATTCCCAGTGGATAGTTGCACTCAGCTGTAACACACACACATTCAGGTAACAACAGCAGGACTCATTTGTCTTTAGGAAACAGTTACTCTAGGTTACTGAGCAGCTTAAATTGTTGCAACTACATAACAAAAAACAACAAAAAATAATGAAGACTACCATCTGAAACTAATACAGCACCCCAAATTATGTGTTTTGGTTGAGTGACCAGAAGCAGTACTAACTCTTTTGGTCCTGGGGGGGCTCTGGGCTGGATTGGATGCTGTAATTGGCCGAGAAGCCATCCTTGCTGATGGCATTGTCAGTGTGGATGGAGAGGGACAGGATGCCGGTATAGGATATTACTCGGTCTGGACTACGAGAACCACAGTATCTCCCGATATGAGGGCCAACTGAGAGAGAGAGAGAGAGAGAGAGAGAAGGTAGATGGGGGGCCCAAAGAGAGAGAGAGAATTGTGAGAAAGTCAAAGAGAAAAGAGAAAAGAGAGGTTGTAATTTCTGCTTTCGGCCACAGATCAACTCTTCCTTTAAAGCATGACAGAATGAATTCAAAGTATGACAGTAAACTGCCTCTCTTCTCTCTTCTTCCCTTTCCTGTCAGCAGCCTAGATCAGCATCACACAATGGATGGATTCATCTCCCTGGAATGTGTTTGTGTGTGATCTCTGTATGATATCATTCTCTTTCTTACTTTTCTCCTTCATTATTAACTTGGTGATAGTAAATCTACCTTTAATATACATTCATATATTTACATCAATCTGTTTGCCAAACTACCTTTTTCCTGCTAAATCTAAAGTTTTCTCACCCTATACCTCTCTCTCTACTTATTGTCTTGTGTTTATGATCCTCCCCCTTCTCTCCCCTTCCAACCTCCTTCTCTACCTGTTGGGTATCCGTCCCAGATTTCCAGGTAGTCAAAGCGGCACACGGCTCCAGCAGGGGCGGTACTATCAGGCTCCATGTCAAACCTTTCAAACTCCAGCACGATCTCCGCCATCTTCGGCGCCAAGATGGTGATGGTACACTCAAGGTTGTTGGGGTATTTATCAGGGTACCCGGGCGTCTGGATCACTCCACTCGGAGCTGTCAGGTTTCTGGAACATTCTGTGCCTGATAAGGACAGAAAGAGTGTAGAATGTAGAAGTAAACAAACATTTTCTGAAATTTCTTTAAATTACATCATTTTTCGTGATGAGAATGTGTTTTTATATGAAGTCGGTCGTCACTGAAACTATCAGAGAAACCATTTTCCTTAAGGCACATAAGGGTTATTAGATGATTAGATTTAATGAGAGACGAGGCTGTGTACTACACACATGCACATACATTTAATTATAGGCTAATCCCATGTCCCCAAAATGCAATAAAAACACAAATTCGTGATTTGTTAATTCTCTTGAACCTTTATTTAACTGACAAAAGTACAAACAAATGACGTTTGATATTTTAGCTGACCTGACTGTATTTTGTAAATATAAATAAATTTTAAATTTGATGCCTGAAACACACTCAAAAGAAGTTGGAACAAAGGCATGTTTTTTACAAAGTACAATTAAGTTGGTCAGTGAAAACATTACAAATCTTTTCTTTGTACTTTTGCTCATTAAATAAAGGTTCAAGAAAATCAGATTCTTGTTTTACTGCATTTTCTAAAATGTTCCATTTTTTTTCGGAAATGGGCTTTGTGATTAACTACACATGCATGAACACCATCTTGGAAAGATTATGACTTAGATTTTTAGTTTGGCAAAGAATGCTGGGGAATATGCACATAAAATAAAGATATTGCTAGTTATCTCTGCAGACAACAATCAGAAATTTACATTCTGTCCAAACTTAACATGCACTCACAAAGATGGACACAAACACATGCAGCCACTCTCTCTCTCTCTCTCTCTCTCTCTCTCTCTCTGTGCATGTGTGTCTGACCTTTTTGGTGCACCTCGTAGCGGATGCTGAATCCGGCCCCATTGGTCTCGTAGTCGGAGGTGAATTTGATCAGCAGAGAGTTTCCAGAGGAGATGATTGGGGAAGGAGCAATTTTTCCACAAAACTTCCCCACCAGAGAGGCCTTCTCACTGTCTCCATCGTACACCTCCACAAAGTCATACCTACACACACAGTTGATGTAGTTCAGTCTTGAGCTGAATTTCAGACTGTTGCTACTGATTACATTAGGAATTTCTACAAGGCTATTCAAATCAGAATTTCAATAAAAAATTATTTAACTGAATGTATATGGCGCCTCTGGTCAAATTACATGTTTAGTTGAACAAACTTTCTGCAGAGAACACACTTCTGCACATGTTAATGCACAATTACTGTGTACTTGCTGAATTTTTAAAATATTGAAAAAAACGTAAACATAAAATACGGCCTTTGCCAAAGTAATGGCACATTTTATATTAATGTTTTATTTTTTCTAATATGTTAAACTCAGCAAATAAATAGAAATTGTGCACTAAAAAGATATTTAAGTGCTCTCTATAGGGGATGTGTGAACTTATTTTTACTTTAACAATCTGAACTTTTGCATATGACCGAGAAGGTAAAGTTTAATCAATAATGCATTACTTGAATAACTAGGTTTAACGGATTCATCGTGGCTGCACTGAGTGAATGTATTTATTTTCACTTCTGTTGAAGAACATTCCAGAGCTGAATTTCTGCTCAATTGAAATCGCTATGAAATTGACTCCAACACTGTTATACAACTGTAGATGACCCAGTCCAGACACTTTTATTGTCCCTGACCTTCGGGAACAGATACCAGATGTCACAAACAGGGACTGAAAATTCAGTGAACTTAAAGACACACTGAACTAACCTACTAACCTAACTCATATACAGATCAGTACAGATCCACTACTGGTGTAAAACATCTGGAAGATTCCAGACTGTCTATGAATCATAAATGAGTTAGAGAGATTAAAGTTTAAAATGTCATGTACTAAAGTCCTCATGAGAACATCACTCTTTAAAAAGGGAGGCATTTCCTGTCGACCTTACCACCCCACCCCTCCTCATTCCCCACACACACTTTCAAAACTGAAGACACTGCTGGCCAGTTTTCCATGACCTCAGTATGACCCTGTGTGTGAAATGAAGCATAGTTCCTGCATGTCTGTCATAGTTGCTCTTCTATGAGACAAGCAATGCAAAACTGCCATTACTCAACACTAGAGACTTCAGGAGAAACAGAGGACCTGATGCGCCAGTTTCAGGTGCAAATTGGATACATTCTGCCTGTGTTTTGTATGAAACTGCACAGTTTACGGGTCATGAGCATGGAAAAATGCAGAATGCGCTTCTCTCCCTCATGCATATGAATTGAGAGAGGCCTGCGCAGACTGTGGGAGCATCGTGCAGAAAGCGGGTGGAGATACTGGAAGCATGGCTGATTTCATATTATGCTCAATTTACTGGCCGACTAGCAGCAGCCAGTCTTGCGTGGAATTTTCCCCTCCTTTTGAAACAAAACATTCATGTACAGTAGTGTCTCGAAAGTGTGTGCTGGGAGACTTTCTTTTATAATGGCAGGAGGCACAGTGGCTAGATGGACGCACAAGGCTCAAAAATGTACTAGAAGAATATTTACCATCACAATAACATGATTTAACTTGATTTAGAGCCTCAAGTCATTCCTGAGTGCTACTTTTATATTTAAGCTCACAATGGATCCATTTCTGACTGCAGTATGTAGGTGGTGCAGATCTATTACACTGGAGTGTACACATGCTTTTTCTACAAAACAATGTAAACATAACAAAAGGTACGTTCACATTACAAGCCTCATTGCTCAAATCCGATTTTTTGCTCAAATCCGATCTCTCTGACAGGATGGTTCACACTCGTTTAGGTAAGTGACTCATCCTACGCAGTAATGTCACGTGAATAAATCATGTGCGTCACGTGCATCATCAGCAAACAGACTAATGGTCAGAACAAGCCTTCACTGCAAAGATAATTAACTCTGACCAGCTCTCAGCTGCTCATTATTAGAGCAAGATGAAGGTGAAAAAGGTGAGATGTGCACATGAATTCCGAGTGTTCATATTAAGGTCGCATGGCCACGAATCAGATACGTATCCAATCTAGGACCACATATGAAAGTGGCTCAGGTCGGATTTGAAAAGATCAGAATTGCGTGTCCACACAGCCCTGAAAACATCAGATCTGAGTCACATTAGGGCAAAAACGGATTTGTGCCACTTCAGCCTGGTAATGTGAACGTAGACAAAGTAGTGGCTTTTTCTTCATAGGCACTTTTTATAGGGGCCTACAGGTGGAACTTTGAAGCTTTGTACTGTTTTCTGCTGGGTATAATGCAGGATTAGGAAATCTGAAAATAAGGACATACTGCATTGACATTCTCACTGGCTACTGAAATCAAAGCGATGACATCAGTGCAGTGAAACACAAGATTTCATTAGCTTGTGTAAGTAAATTCCGAATGAAATGAAAACCAAGAGCATTGGAAGTTAGTCACAAATTGCAGAGACAACATTCAGCACTCATCTTTTCCGCTGAAGTCTCAAGAATCTAACGCTTTACCAAATCTCTATGGATTCATTATAGTATCAGAATCATATTGGTAATGGCAGATCATATATTTATTGTACTTCCAAGAGCGGGATGTTTAGGTGACGTTGGTCTACTGCAATGAATTTTTTTTGTTTTTTTCATTTTTAACTTTACATGTAATACTAATCGACATAGAGTTAGTTCTGATTAGTTAGTTCTCATGGGCTTGTAGTTAGCAGGTGGTCCTGTGTGCAGTTTATGGTCCTACGCGCAGCCTTAGTGAATGGAACTGCCATTGTCAGGAGCACTGTGAGCGCATATTACAACGACAGCATCAAGTACCATTTTCCGCTGCCCCCATGTTCATACTTACACCAGCGTCTGCACATTCAATCTTCTATCTGTCTACAGGGTTAGGATGTAACGGAATACAAGTATTAGGAATACAGAAATGAAGTATCTGTATTCAGTCCAAGTTATTTTAAAAAGAACGGCAGAATTCAGAATGCAGTTACTTTTCACACTTTAGGAGAATACTTTTAGAATACTTATGCACTGTCTTTTGAAAATATATACCATATTTAAAAGAAACACCATCAATGCAGTGTGTGAAGATGTACTCTAAAGACAGACTCAAAAAATAGCTTCTTTATAAACACTGCAGTTCCTGCTAAAGCCTGAGTAGACTGATAAAATAACATGATGATCCAGTTATTAATCTCAGTGTTACAAATTTTTTTCTGAAGGATAATGGAACTAAATAATCTCCTCAGTAGTGGACATGTTTATGAGTGATAAGCTTAGTACTTATTTTGCTGGACTTGTTACATAAATGTCATCAACCGAATATCACATAACTACCCACTCTATAGTCAAATTTGCAAGATTTTGTTGGTGAATTGTTTGCTTAGTTCATGAGGTGGCAGTGGGATTACTGGAACAGCAATAAGAGCCCAAATTATATTGAGAACTGCCAACCAGTGACAGTGAGGAACAGTGTACATTAAATAAAAATTAGAGCAGAGTTTTTCCAATGTATTCCAAATGTTATTCTTTATGTATTGCAATGGAATATATTATTGAGTACATTTAGGACAGTGTATTCAATATTCAATTCAAACCGGTCTGTCTGTCTGTCTATCTATCCATATATCTACGTACTTAGTTTAAAAGAACGGTTTAAAAACTGGAGAATTATTCAAACACTATCACACATCAAAAACAAGCACCCACATTCCTCTTAGCTCTTTCACCAACTGTTTTAAATGAATAATGAGCCTGACTGAGTCTAATCTAATGGTTTCTGTAATTGATTTAAACCATGTGGCGCATATTAACAAGGTTGTTTTCTCTAGATCAACTGTGGCTGGCAAAGAACACATCTAAAGAAATGGCAGCATTCTTGAGTCTGTTGATTCCACTGCAATGGAACTACAGTATCATAAACAAAAGACTGAAGCTCTCTCAAGAGCAACAAACCTACAGTGATAACAAATACTAAGAAATACTAAAAAATCCACTAATTTTTAAGTGGTGTCATTATTAATCTATATAAATGAAATCATTTTGGAAACAGTTAAATATTTGAACTACCAAAAGCTACAGGGAAACCTTACTAAGCCACCTGCAACTCCACAAAGCCCCAGGACAGCGCTGATGTTTCTTTTAAACAGTGAGTAAATAAATCACTATAATAGCTCATGCACGTCCTGATCCTTTGTGGTTTATTTCCGCCACTCAGCAGGACCATCAGAGACGGCAGTGGTGACAGGGGCATATGGTAGCAATAATAACCCAGTAGCCCTCGGAGGACCAATGCCAGATGCTTCATGAAAAACTGAGAAACGTGAGAGACGAGGCATCTGAAGAAACAAAGACAGGAAAACGAAACCTCTGGGGAGCAAATCAGGAGCTGATCAATGGTCTAGTCAATCGCTGTCTAACGGGACACTTTTATAAAATCAATATCAAATCAGTAATTCAATCCATTAGGTAACAGGCACACTATAAGTACTAACATTGAACAAACTGCTAAGTATTTTCTCCCATTCCCTGCAAGAACAGCTTTTAGGGCAGTTTTCAAAGGTGTGATTAAAAATTAAACACGTGTAAACCACAAGCTAGTCCTAATGGACAGAAATCTGCTGATCTTAGAACAAAACTCTGTGCTGACTTTAATAACACCCTGAAGCTGTGGCTGAAGCATGCTACAGATCTACTGTCCAGTCCAGCAGAAGGAGATCCAACCTCAACCTAAATAAAGAAAACTGTAATTAGGGGTGGGTGATATGGCAAAATGCTTCAGGATGTTTTCTATGATACACAATGTATCACGATATTATTTTTTCTGACATCTAATAAGTTAGAACAGACAAAGTAGTGGACATTTTAAAAATACTATCAAAAATTAGGAATACAATTACAATAATTTAACATTTCACACACTGTGTTGCACTAAATCCAGTTAAACAAGATTCCTTGTGCTCTCTTTTTAAACAAACATGCAGTTTTGAAGTTTTTAAAGTATTGATGATGCATCAAGACACATTGATGTGAAGGTGATCGTTCATCTGAACAGATTTTGGGA